TGTGAAATCCTATCACAAGGACACCAGGGAAGACCACCAAAGAAACAAAAGCCCCCACCCAACTCTCCATATCTGCCAAACATAGATCTAAAAGGCTGACTTTTCAGAAAAACTAGAGTTGTGATTGCCAAATGCAGCCAGCCCACATCTGGGGGTGTATTTCATTATCCCCGGGCGTGGCTCTTTTCCATCCACAGCTCAGTCACTTGTACTCTGGCCTCTCACTAGGCGAGCGGATGACTCCAGACAGGGACCATGTGGCAGGAAGGCTGCCTGGTTCCGCACATCTGGCCCCTTCCCGGGGGGTTCCTCCCCAACAGCTGTCCTCCCCAGGCTCCCTCGCCGAGCAGAAGGCCAAGCTTTCAAGCTCTAAAAGTAATTCTGGCAGGGGTGCTGTGGGCTGGGAGGGAGGCCTGCGGGATGCGCCTCCAGGTTTAACCACTTAATCCCCAAAGTACCTGCCAAGAACCAGTTAGCATGTCTGGCTGGCTGTCCAGGCCGTCATTAATTCATTAAAGCAGGCTCCCGCTGGCCCATTATCTTCCTTGCCACTGACCACGTCGCCTTATGGGCCTGCAGAGTCCCCCTATCTCCCCTTTCCCTGCTCTCAAAGCAGGATTCTACCCAGCCCTGGCCCCAACTCCCAGGCAGATTCCTTGGCTCCATTCTCTCTCCCTCCCTGCCCCCTCCCTAGGCACGCTTCTCCCTCCCCGCCAGCCTCCGCCAGCCAATGCTCACCCTAAAGCATCTTTTGTTCCCTCTCCCCTGTATCTTTGAGTATTGACTGGTTAAATCATACCCATCTCCTCCCGGCCTTGCCAGTCTCAGAGGAGCTTCCCCTGGGGCTCTGGAAGAAAGGGAATTTCACTTGCGCAGGAATTCACTGTGCACCACCCCGTCTGCCTACTGCCCCTATCTCCTCTTCCCCTGCAAGTCATGGGGTGAGGGGGGCTGTGTGCCCTCAAAGATGGAAACTCCAATTCCATTGGGGATCACTTAGGTGGGCGCTCTCTGCCTTGGCTTCCCCTTTGAAATAAAAAGAATGGCTCTGACTATTTTATGACATCCTCTGTTGAGTGAAGTTAAGAGACAGACACTGTACTGGACACCTTATTTTATTTTATTTATTTTTTTTTGAGACAAGGTCTTGCTGTCCCCTAGACTGGAGTGCAGTGTTGCTGTCTCAGCTCACTGCAACCTCTGCCTCTGGGACTCAAGTGATCCTCCACCTCAGCCTCCTGAGTAGCTGGGACTACAGGTGCACACCACCATGACCAGCTACTTTTTGTATTTATTTATTTATTGTTTGTACAGATGAGGTTTCACCATGTTACCCAAGCTGGTCTTCAACTCCTGGCCTCAAGTGATCTGCCCACCTTGGCCTCCCAAAGTGCTGGGATTACAGGATTGAGCCACTGCACCCAGCCTGTACTGGACACTTTAGATGAATGTTCTCTTATTCTCCCAAGAACCCTGGAAATAGCTCCAGTTTACAGATACAGTTTCAGAGAGGTAATGGGTCTTTCTCAAGGCTATGCTGTCAGCAAGTGGCTGGGTCTCTCCTGACCCTCCTGGCGCTGATTTCCCGGGAGGGCAGGCAGGAGTGGTGTGGAATTGCCAGCAAAAATAATGGGAAAATGTTGACTACCTTGGGAAAGAATGATAGTAAATGCACAGTAATAATCACGACGGCTCCCATGTATGTCCACTGTTCTAGAGCTTTCTGTGTATGAATTCATTTAACCCTCTTAATAACATGCCTATGCATTAAGTACTATTATTATCCCCATTTTACATATGGGAAAACTGAGTCTTGGGTGTTTGTTGCTATTTGTTATTTTCTTTTAAATGACTTCTGAGAAAAGTATTGATGGCTAGCAGGAGAGGCTCAGAACAGGTATGCTGAAAATATAAATATATATATATATATGTATATGCGTACACACATACACACATACAATTATTATTATTATTGAGTTGGAGTCTCACTCTGTTGCCCAGGCTGGAGTGCAGTGGTGAGATCTCTGCTCTTCTCCACTCAATTCTTGGGTCACTGCAACCTCTGCCTCCCGGGTTGAAGAGATTCTCCTGCCTCAGCCTCCTGAGTAGCTAGGATTACAGGTGTGCACCACCATGCCCAGCTAACTTTTGTATTTTTAGTAGAGATGGGGTTTCACCATACTGGCCATGCTGGTCTCAAACTCCGGACCTCAGGTGATCCCCTTGCCTCGGCCTCCCAAAGTGCTGGGATTATAGGTGTGAGCCACCCTGCCTGGCCTGTATGTGGAAATATTGATCCTGCATATAGCTGAGCACACCCTTGAAACCGACGAGAATTGAAAGTGGTGGTTCCCACCCTATATGGCTGGCACAGGCCTCCCTCAAACCCCTAAGGCACAGCTGTGAACATCCCCCTTTCTCCATTAGAGCAGGGAAAGTGGAGAGCACTCCTTATCCAGCATAGAACGCAACAAACTGTCTTCCTCCAGTGAATTTTCTGTCCCTTCTACTTAACTTGCCAGAGCTGGGGGGAAAAAAAAAAGGGTTTCCCCAAATTGAACTAAAAGCATGAGAAAGGCCAGAGCCGCTGGTATTCTGAGATCAGATGCAGGCTACAGGGAGAGAACCTGATCCCGGCTAGTGCAGGGAACCCGGGCTGGGAGCGCAGAAGGCGGGTGGTGAGCAATTCTAGGGTGTCCCGAGGGTATGAGGGGCGGCGCTGGAGGGAAGCCGTGCGGGGCATCCTGAGGTCAGGGCGCCAGAGCCTGCAGAACCCTGGAGGTTGTGGCTGCTGGGGACGCCCGGGCGGGACACGGCAGGTAGAAGAACCCACAGGTGTGGGAAGACGGTGTCTCAGAGTCAGGGCGCAGCACAGAAGTAACTCTGAGGTAGAAGCCGAGGGAGGCGGGGGAAATAAACTCTGCAGCGGCAATTACCTGCGGCTGCCCCTCAACATCGATGCAAAACAGCGAAACCCCTCGCCGCCGTCCTCCAGTGCAGCGCAGGCCCGAGTTCCCCAACTCCTGCCCTGGCTCCAGCGCAGAGCGGCGCACTCTGCCCGCCCCTCCCGCAGACACCTCCTTCGGGACCCGGGTGGGTTCACACCCCTGACACTCACACACTGGCAAACCGGAACATTCAGACCGGCTCCGGCCCGGAGTCCTCCGCCTCCCGGAGGGGCACCTGACATCTCGCACGCCAGGTCCCGGGAGGGGAGCGCCTTTCCAATCTCCTGGACGACAGAATTAAAGAAAGCCGTGTCCGAGCCCTCTTCCCATTTCTATTTGATTTTACTCCCTTCCTCTCTTGCCCTCTAATTCACTTTTCAATTGTCTTGCAACTTGTTCTCCAGGCAGTTGCTCTTTTTCTCCACCCTCCCCAAATTTCTTGTCCCTCCCCACCTCGTCGCCTGGTTTTTCTCTCCCTCTTCACCCACTTTTTTTCTGCCTCTTCCCAAATTCCACGCTTTGGGCTTCGCGTCTGTCGCTCAACTTCCTTGTTCTGCTCCCCGAGATCCATCCAAAGTGTTCTTCCCGTTCCTGGGATTGGGCAGCCTCAGCCTGGCCCCATTCAGTCACGGGAGCCCCTGGCCTCTCCAACTGGAGAAAGAAGGAGGAGAGAAGTGGATGGGACCCCCGGCGCCCGGGAGCCCGGCGGAGTGCGCCCCGAAGCGCTCACTTCTCTTCGCCAGCGCCCAGGCTGCGCGGGCCCACGCGACAGCTGTCGCCTGCGGTCCCGGCTCACACCCCGTGCACCCCCGCAGCTCCCTGGGCGCTGCCACCCCCCACGCTCCGGCTGCCGCCTTTCCCCGCGGGCGCAGACGCTAGGGCCTCGCCTTCAGGCGCCGCTCCAGCTTCCCAGGGTGTCTGCGGCGCGCGGCGGGGCTCGGCGGCGTGGACCCAAGGGCGGCTGGCTATATCACCTTCGATCTTCACCTTCCGGCCCTAGACCCATCTATGTTGGACTCAGCTTGATTCTCTCCGCCTTCATTCTCCAGCGCTCCTCGCTACTCCAGGATCCAGAGTAGTAAGGCGATGCTTACACTGTGTGCTTCCTCAAAGCGCCTAGCACAGTGCCAGACGCACAGCTAGGGCACAGTAATTTCCCCACCCCAAGAGCCTAGAGCCTTCCTCCCACTGATACCAACCACACTAGGCGCTCAATACCCATGTCCAGTCCTAAGCTCTCAACACATTACCTCCCTAAACAGTGTCCAGCGCCCAGAAGGAGCTCGGTAAATGTTCCTTCCTTAAGGCTTCCCATTGGGGTTTCCCCAAAAGCCTCCTATTCCAGCCTACTCTGAGGGCGTCTCCTTCCCATCGCAGCTACAACCGTCTGGGGAGGCGGCCAAACTCCTTAAACAGGACACCTCACAGGCGAAGGAGCGAAGTTAGCAGGACAGAGGAAATTTGCAAATGCGCGGGGTTTGGGGTTGAAGATCGGGCCAGCCAGAAACAGGGAGGACGAAGTCTCGAGATGCGATGGGGGTGGCAGAGAATGGGGATCAGAGATTGGAGAAGTGACACTTCGGGAGAAGAGGTGGGAGCCAAGGTGAGGGAGACGGCGACTCAGGAACGGCAAGAGGCTTGAAGGGGACAGGGGACCTTTCTTGAAACCGAGACAGATTTTAAGTATTTGGCGTAGCTTACAACTACATTCTCATAGCAAGCACACTTTTTACTTGCATTGTGTGTTTGTTTGTGGGGCTGGTGGGGATTATGGAGGCTGAAGTCCTCCGCAAGCCACCGAGCTCTAAGGGAGTAAGTAGCAAAATGCGCTTCAGGACTCGGAGAGATGGGGCAGAAACGGTGGACCTGACACTTGGAAGGAAAGACGGGGGCTGGGTAAAGAGCTGCCCGGAGGTGCTTGCAAGAGAAGAGAACAGAGGAAGAAGGGAAAGGGAAGAGAAGAAAGCCAAATTTGCCACTCTCCCGCTCCCAGGCCAGCCCAGCGCCTCCAGTGCCCAGCTGCCGCGCCCTGGCTCTCGCTCGCTCCCGTACCTGTTGCTCGCTCCGGCTGGGTCTCGGCTCCGGCCCCACCAAGAAGCCCCGCGTTCCTACAAGTTCCGCCTGCCGAGCAGCCAGGCCGCCAGCGCCGCCACCTGCGCGGCCGCGCACAGCCAGGGCCAGTAGGTGGGGAGCGCGCCGGGCGCCGGCGCCCTCCGGCTCCGAGCGCGGCGCCGCCACATGGTGCGCTGGTGCAGCTCGTCGCCGAGCGCCTTGAGCCGGGCGGCGGTGAGCTGCGCGGCGGATGAGCGCAGCCCCAGGCGACCCGCGCTGCAGGCGCAAACGGCCGGGGGGCCGCGGCCGCGGTGCAGGGGGCACGGGCACATGACCGCTGGCCTCGCTCCCGCCCCGCGCTCGGGCCGCCCCTCGCCTCCTCTCCCTCCGGCCTCTGCGCCCGCTGCCGTCGCGCTCCAGCCGCCGGGGGCCTCCCCTGGACACCAAGTTTCTCCTTGTGTTGTGCGTTTGTTGTGCTGACGGCGCTATTATTAATTAAAGTGTCACATGGTGGAGGGGGGCGGGGAGGGGGGTTACATCATCCGGCCCCCGGGGGTGGGGGGGCTGCAGGCAGAAGAAACCGAGAGGTAACTTTTAACCCTAGCGGCGCCGGCAGCGAGGGGGCGCACGGTTTGGGAGACTGGGAGCGCGGCGCGGGGCGACGCGAGAAGGCGCCCCGCGGCGGAGGTCCTGGGCTTTGAGGGTCTCGGGGGACCCCCGCGGAGGCGAGGGAAGGTTGTTCTCCTTCCCGGTTTCCTAAATTCAGCTCGAGTTCCGCTTTGGCGAGGGAAGCAGCCTTGTTTGCCGTTTTGGATGAAGCTGATACTGAATTCGGCTGCCTGATTGAAAAATATTCCGAGGCTGTTGTTTTGTTTGGGGGAGGTGGGTGGATTCAAAATCTTGTGGAAGGGCCAGATTGCACTTAACTTGCCTCATTTCAGGTCTGACTTTAGCACCTGTACGCTTTAAGCCTGACCCTAACGCGCCCCCAGCGCCCAGCTAGAAACCCTGACGTAGGCGCAATGGGAGGTTGAGGGGTCGATCCTGAGCCAGCGTGGGGCGCGGACAGCTCGCCGCCCAGCACCTGCACCCAAAAGACCCTCACAAGGGCCTTTCTAAAGGGAAACTTCTTGTCTGCTTTCTTTGTGAACGTTATTTTCCTGATGGGGTTAGTTTTCTGCGACGATCTCGATTTATGCGCAGTAGAGACCCTAAGGGGTCAGCGAGAGGAGGGGCGCGGGGGACTTTAATTCCCCTTTTCCAATCCCACAGCCGCTCCTGTGCACCTCCAGACTGGAGAGTCTGGAGTTGTTGTCACAGCCAGTGAAGGTTCAGATGGGCGGGGCGGCTCTCAGGATTATTTCGGGGAGAATGAAACCTGCGATCTTAAATCCACTGGGATTCAGGCGACTTTGGGATTCAGACGATCGGGATGAGTAAAGAGGTGGCTCGAAGGTGAAAGTCTGTAAGCTGCTAAGGGAGCTTCCATTCTTTCCTTCCCACTGCAGAGTATAACTACGATTCTTCAAGCCTGTGAACTTAGTTTTGGTCTGAATCGATCAGGAGGAGAAACGTCTGCTTTGGCCTGCAGCGCGGTGAAATAACAACAAAGTCAGGACTCAGGGCCCACACCTCCATGTGATCCTGGTGACCCTTTCCCTCACCTGGCTCCAATTCTCCTAGGCTTCTTAATGGCCAAGACTTCCATGTCTGGCATCTGTAGGCTTTGGGCGTCCTTGCCTCTGCTGCCTAAAGGTAAATCTCCCAATAGTTCTACGTGCAATTACTATAATATTTCAAAGATGAGGAAGCTGAGGCAAAGGTAGGTAAGGCCTCTTGCCTAAGCTCACAGAGTAGCTAAGAATGAAACCTGCATGTGAATTAAGGCAGTATGCCGCAGGCTTTAAGCTCTTAACCACGGTTTTATACTGCCCCCTGTAATCTGGGAATAATAATACCTCCATCCCAGGACTGGGGCAGAGATTAAATGAGAGAAATGTGTGCCAAGCACCTGGCACGCAGTGGGCCCTCTATGAACCTCGGTTCCCTTTGCTTCTGGCCAGAACTGTTTCCCATTCTCCTGGGACTCACCTCCTTAATCCCCCCCTAGTCTCTGCAGAGGGGACCTGATCCATTGCCCGGGTGTAGCGTTCCAAGAATGAAGACACAGTGTCTATTTAAAAAGCCCTTTGGATTTAAATCGAACAATTCCCTCCCCCCCCCTTTTTAATCTGCACGCTTTTAACGGCTCACTTCATGGACATTAATTTTAATGGGACGATTATTACCCTGTTTGGAAGCCTGCCCCTCGAAATGCTGGGCTCTCAAGGTGGCGCTGGGTCGGGTCCCAGCAGCTTGGATGTTGTCTGTAGAACAGGGGGTGCAGTTTTGGCCACGGGGATGCAACGTTCAGCAGAGGGGGAAGAAAAGGGGATAATGGAAAGGTGGGAGAGAAGGAATAACCTCTCCCTCTCTGACTCTCTAAGTCTGGCAGGCCTTACTTTGCACACACGCGTTGTCCTGTGCTGCTGGACCACTTACTAACTGGGGAGCATGGACTTCAGACCTGGCTTTTTGGAACCTCCATTCTCTCAACTGTACAGTGGGGATAATAATAGTACCCACCCCACAGCCTATATATCAGGAAAGCCCTTACTTAAAACAGTGCCTGGCCCAGCAGTAGCTTTTTTTTTATTTTATTTTTTATTTTATTTTATTTTTGTTTTTTTGAGACAGAGTATTGCTCTGTCGCCAGGTGCCAGGCTGGAGTGCAGTGGTGTGATCTTGGCTCACTGCAGCCTCTGCCTCCCGGGTTCAAGCAATTCTCCTGCCTCAGCCTCCTGAGTAGTTGGGACTACGGGCACATGCCACCATGCCCAGCTAATTTTTTTTTTTTTTTTTTTTTAGTAGAGATGGAGTTTCGCCATATTGGTCAGGAAGGTCTGGATCTCTTGACTTTGTGATCCACCCACCTTGGCCTCCCAAAGTGCTGGGATTACAGGCTTGAGCCAACACACCTGGCCTTTCCGCCTTTTTTTTTTTTAACAGAGTATCACCCTGTCACCTGCGCTGGAGTGCAGTGGCACAATCTCAGCTCACTGAAACCTCCACCTCCTGGGTTCAAGCAATTCTCCTGCCTCAGCCTCCTGAGTAACTGGGACTTCAGGCGCCCGCCAGCACACCCAGCTAATTTTTGTATTTTTAGTAGAGATGGGGTTTCGGTATTTTGGCCAGGCTGGTCTCGAACTCCCAACTTTCAGTGATCACCACCCCCGTCTCAACTTCCCAAAGTGCTGGGATTACAGGTGTGAGCCGCCATGCCCAGACCCATCGTTAGCATTTAATAAATGGTGAGTACTGTTAATATTTTATAGTGGATTATGTAGTTGTCAAATAGTGTACTTTGAAGAATGTTGGGGACCCACATCCTCAAATATATATGGTTCACCTATTGTGGATTAGTGATTCCATTGCTGATATTAAGCATTGCCCAGAGAAAGTGAATTCTTTTTTTGAGATGGAGTTTTGCTCTTGTTTCCCAGGCTGGAGTGCAGTGGTGCCATCTTGGCTTAGTACAACCTCCGCCTCCCCAGTTCAAGGGATTCTCCTGCCTCAGCTTCCCAAGTAGCTGGGATTACAGGTATATGCCACCACCCCTGGCTAATTTTGTGTTTTTAGTAAAGACAGCGTTTCTCCATGTTGGTTAGGCTGGTCTCGAACTCCTGACCTCAGGTGATCTGCCTGCCTCAGCCTCCCAAAGTGTTGGGATTACAGGGGATAAGCCACTGTGCCCAGCCAAGAAAGCAAATTCTTTGGGAAGGTAATGTAACAATCTCCTAGCACTTTTTAAATTGTCTTAATTTTTATTAATTTTTTTTTTTTAAACATGGTGTCTCTGTCTGAGGCTCAGGCTGGAGTGCAGTGGTGAGATTATAACTCACTGCAGCCTCCAACTCCTGAGCTCAAGCAATCCTCACGCCTCAGCCTCTGGAGTAGCTGGGAGCACAGACACATACCACTACACCTGGCTAACTTAAAAATTCTTTTTAGAGAATGGAGTCTTGCTATGTTGCCCAGGCTGGTCTTGAACGCCTGGGCTCAAGTAATCCTCCACCACAGCCTCGCGAGTGGCTGGAACTATAGATGTGCACCGCTGTGCCCAGCTTCTCCTAACAGTTTAGTAAAAGTGAGTTGTTGATTTCAGTGTTTAACTTAATAAGCCCTTACATAGTGCTCGATCTGTGCCATGTGCTCTTCTAAGCGCCTTAGACATATAACTCCTTTAATTCCCCTAATAACCCTGTGAGACAACTACAATCATTAGCTCAACGTTATGTATGAGCAAACCAAGGCAGAGGACTTAAGTAACTTATCCAAAGTCACACACCTGCCTGGCCCCAGAGTTTGAGCCCTTTAGAATTAGGGTGACATAGGGTGACTGGGGACTTGGGAAGAGGGAGGGAGGTTCTTGTATGATGAATGCCATCCCCTGGTCCACCCCGAGTGGATATGTCCAAGGTCTAACCCCTGGAACCTCAAAATGTGACTATATTTGGAGATAGCATCTTTAAAGAAGTAATTAAGTTAAAATGAGGTCACTAGGTTGGACCCGAATCCTAGTGACTTATGAATGGTCTCTTCATAAGAAGAGGAAATTAGGACACAGACACACAGCGTGAAGACCACGTGAACACAGAGGCAGAAGAAGGTATCTGCAAGCCAAGGAAAGAGCCTAAAACAGGTCTTTCCCTCACAGCCCTCAGAAGAAACTAACCCTGGCCAGGCATGGTGGCTCACACCTGTAATCCCAGCATTTTGGGAGGCCCGGGCAGGTGGATCGCTTGAGCACAAGAGTTCAAGACTAGCCTGGGCAACATGGTTTTTTTCTTTCTACAAAAAAAAAAAAAAAAGAAAAGAAAAGAAAAGAAATAGCTGGCATGGTGGTGTGCACCTGTGGCACCAGCTACTGAGGCAGCCGAGGCAGAAGGATTGCTTGAGCCCAGGAAGCTGAGGCTGCAGTAAGCCAAGATCATGCCACTGTGTTCCATCCTGAGTAAGAAAGTAAGGCCCTGTCTCAAAAAATAAATAATAATAAAATAAAATAAAAAGAGACCAACCCTCCCGACTCATTGATCTTGGACTCCCAGCCTCTAGAACTGTGGGAAAATACAGTTTTGTTGTTCAAGCCCAGACTGCGGTGTGTTGCTAGGGCACCCCTAAGCAAACAAATACAGAGAAGAGCAGTGTCCTCAACGGGAAGCTAGCAGCAGGTATTTCACCAGGCTGTGGCTGCTCTTACTGTGGGGCCCGTGTGTGGACATTTTTCTGTGTTCTTGGGAAGGGTGGGTTCTAGGATGGTTTCCCTGTTCCTCTTCTTCCTCATTGCTGTCCTGTTGGAGATCTTTAAAGGAGGAAGAGTTTTAGGAGATTATTTTGGAAAACAGTT